ACACACACACACACACACACACACACACACACACACACACACACACAGATTCAAGTTGTGTGTTATGTCTCAGCTCAAACCCAATGTCCCAAGAAGTAAAGGTCATGGCTCAAGGATTTGGATGATAGAAGGGAAAGTTCCCGTTAGTGTAAAGACATGCAGATGTTTAAACTTTGTTGTTATGAATCTGATTCATTCATCCTGTAAACTGAACTTTTATATTTGTCCACAAGAAAATAAGTGTTGATTCACACACTGCAGCCAGAGAAAATGGCATAAATGTCTCTTCAACATTATGTCAACTCACTCCACTTAAGCACAAAACTAATTTGATATTATTATTATTATTATTATTATTATTATTATTTAGGCTCCATAGCACAGCACATTATTCTACCAGTTAAATATTTAGGCTTTGGGGGCCACACTAAAGCAAAACAGCAAAGAGAAATGAAACCCTGGTCAGAAAATTGCACCCTCTATAGTACTAAAGAAGAGCTTGAATTTCCTAAAATAAACACGTCTAAAACATTTGACTCCATCTGAGCTTTCAGGCTGTAATAACTCTTTAACTGACACATCTCAGTTCACTTTAAAGCAAAGGAGATTTCTGTTTCCAGTAAAAATCCAAAACATTCAAGTTTGCTTTTATTACATTAAACAAGCGAGACATAACAAGTCATATAATATTGTTAAGTGTTGGTAATCAGATATTCTTCTTGCTTCCCCCATGTTTCCTGCCACCATGTCACGCTAAAGAGGCTGCTGGCATCAGCCTCAACACTGAAACGATTTCTTTAATTCAAGGCCACTGATCCATAGCAGCTGCCAGCCCATCATGAAATATTTAAGTACATATTTAGAGTACTGATGGTTGGTGATGCCTCCAGTACACCAACCTGGTTCATACATTGTATCTAAGAATAAAATTTTATTCTGGAGCGTTTCTACACCATACTTGGATTTAAAATTCATCAACGCAAAATAATTTAATGCCAACAACTAAACCCGACACAACTCTCTTCTGCTTTTATTGACTGCAGCTGACCTGCAAAATGAGGACGATAATGATTGCATGCACGTTTGAGTGTCTGTCAGCAAAACTTCTCAAAAGTTAATGCAGTAAGTACATTTAGGATGTACATCTACAGCTGATTAGCTTTTGGAGTCACCCTCTGACTGTCACAGCCAACTGACCTTAAAAAAACACAACAATTATTTAAACTCAATCAATTTGACAGATAATAACCAAAAATATAGCAGATAATTATCCCCAACATATATTTTGAGCACCGATTTTGCTAAATCTTTGTTTAAAATTTAGCAATTTACTATTTGGTGTCAACTCTGTCTGTTAGCAAAATATCTCGTGAACTGCTGGATGGATTTTAATGAACCTTTCAGACATACATCTAGGACTCAATAACTTCTGGAACCAGCCATATTCAAAATAGCTTTCACAGTTTATCCTTAAAAAAATACAAAAATGCTTTTATTTAATTCAGTCAATTTTACAGATGTGCTAAAATTCAGTGTAGATCAAAGTCATTTTCAACACATAATCCAAGTGCTACTCATTGCACGAGACCTTTTGCGTAAAACTTTGGCATCAGCTGTTGTCCACTCAGAGTCCTCTCTTTTGGTTCGTTAGTTAAATATTTTGATGAACTACTGCACAGAATTTACTGAAACTTTCAGAAATTAATCACTAGACGCAGCGTTAGAACCGTTTAACTTTTGGCATCAACACAATTCAAGATGGCCGCCACAGCTAATGGACATTAGCCAACACAAAATATAACTAGTCTCTTACAAATCTTGAGCTAAGAGTTGACGTGGTAATAGTTCACAATACATAGTCTGAGCATTATGTTAAGATTTTAACTTTTATTTAAGATTTTATTTAATTTAACTCTCTTTTCTCTATAAGATTATTTTAGTCTGAAACTCTGCCATGAAAGGGAGTGGGTAATATTCATTCTTTAAAGAATTGCTAGACCTTTTAATTTAACTCCCCCATCTACATCTTCTGTTCTGGTTTTCCAGATGTCCTGTACCGCTGGTTAAAATGGGAAATCACCAGAACAAACCAACACCAAAAGGCTCTTTGTCCACCAGCATCAGAAAACCCACTTTCCTTCCTTTGTCCTTTTACATCCTACATACACACACGTCATTATCCCGCCCCGAGACTTCAACAATACTTCATCTCTGTGTCCCATCCCACGTACCAGAATACCACAGAGGGGTGCCGGGAGCCTTTCCCATTATCTGGCTCACTCATTGTCTCCAACACCCGCTCATCTTTGTCTGTCTCTCCCTTCTGTTATACGTCACTTCCTCCATTCATCCAGCTATCCATCTCCCAAATTGGTGGCCTCAACTAACACCCACACCAGTGACTTCATCAGGCAACAGCTCAAGGCTGCAGAGTTGTTTGGTGAAGAGGACAGTTTTTGCCGCCACTGTGTCTGGGTTGCCCATGTGAGACGTCCAGAAGATAATCCATCAACTGTATGTATCATTTTAGGCATTTAATCTATGAAAAAAAATCATCTAAGGTTTCATTTGCCACCAGTATGAAATGAAAGCCATTCTGGTCTGGGCAATGAAAGTGGTGTGACTGTTCAAGGCCGATGTGGAGGCTCTGCCTCATCAGCAACTATCTCACTACGCCCTCTTATCCTTGTCAAGAAGATAGGGCTTCTTTTTTAATGAGGATTTACAGGAGATTAATGCCTGAACAGTAATAAATAAAAGCATAAGGACACACAAGACAAAATAAATCTAACCGGTTTGATGGAATTACTTCTTTAGAATGGATCATTGTGGCAAGAAATCCAAAAGGAATGTTTTCTCAGGCCTCGTTTCTATCTCCTGGTTTGAAGGTCAGTATTACAGTAGACTGTTTGTTCAGGCAGTCTCATGAGAAAGCTACTCAAGAGCCTCATTTAAAGGCTTCGGATTAGGTTTCAGGTGGTCTGAAACTGCAGCGGATTTGTGAAGTTACAAAGTCTCAGATGTCTGGTAACACTTGGTATGTAAGACTTTGCCTTTTTTTTTGTTGCTTTGATTAATGCATCAGCTTGAATAAAGCAACCCAATTCACTGCTCAGTTTTGTTTTTGTTCTTGAACTAATGCATATATGGTTACCCAGAGATCTACAGCAGCCAACCAAGAATACATGATATAAAGCTGCAGGTATGAACGGCTGCAACAGCAGAACTGTTTCTAAAGAGCCTTTAAAATACAAAATGACTAGACTGCCATCTGTTGAACACTTCTGCAAATTCCATTCAAAGGATATTTAGAACCCATCCATCTATCCTTACCTGCTTCACCTTTCTGGGTCACATGGAGTTGGTGTCTATCTCCAGAAGTCACTGTGCGAGAGGCGGGGTGCACCCTGGACAGGCCACATGTCCATCACAGGGACAGATGGAGACTAACAACCATTCACCCTCTCACTCACAACTAGGGACAATTTAGTGTTTTGTTTTTTGCATTTTGTTTATTACATGCTTTTCTTTAAAATTCAGTTTACAAAAGCGTGTTCACATAAACCAAGTCTTCTTTTGGTGTTACAAAGACGGAGTAAAAAATGCTCAACTGAAATGGCTCAGTATTGGAAGAACAGTTTCACTGGTGTGTGTGTGTGTGTGTGTGTGCACACGCGTGTGCACTCAAAGATGCTGTTTCAGCCACAACACAGTGTTGAGGAAGCAGTCAGCCTGAGTGTCCAACCTAGACAGAGAATGTCCGTCTTCTGGAAACCACAGCAACCTGACACAAAGAAAACAAGTTGCTTTGAATACAAGCTGGTTACGTATTTTGACAAACTAAAAGCAACTAAAAAACTCAGACTGGTTTGTGTTCTCAGACTTTTGTGAAACGAGTGCTCTGTTGTACCTGACAGGTGACCCCCTGCTCTTCAGTACTTTGTAAAGCTCCAGACCCTGGTGAGGAGACACCCGTCTGTCTTTTCCACCCAACATCAGAAGCACTGGAGCCTTAATCTGCAAACCATCACACAACACTGTTAATACAGTCTATTAGAAAGTTGATTTTATGGGATATTTTTTTAAATAAAACTCATACAGAGTCTTCTTTTGTTTACCAAAATCTATGTATATTATACAAACAAATGCAACTTTTATAAATGGGATGCTTCATGGTGCCTTTCAAAGCTTAAAACTGGTAAAATGTTGACTTGCAAAATTGTCCTTGTAAATGGTTTTAGCACCCCCTACAGGACAAGTTTAGAAACACGGTTAAGGTTCAAAATGCTAATTAAATCTTTAAATCAAGTTGCTAATAAAGATTTATGTTTTAGTGACTTAGTAGTGGTATATTAGTACAGTACATTATATTAATATAGTGTATAGTAATTGTACTAATATAGTCTTCAATACCAATACAACTGATGTTAATATTTTAAGCATGTTTTAATGTGTCTGACCTTTGCTGCATGTGTGATGGGTGACTTCTCCAACATTGCTGCCAGTACTTCAGCAGTGGGTATGTTGTCATACGCAAACTGAAAACCAGCACTTGTGTAGCGCCTGAAGGCAAACAGAAAGACAAAAAAAATACAATTCTCATGAAGTAGCCTGGATTAAAATGTGAAGATCGCATGCATCATATGCACGCGAGTTGTTGCCAATAAAATGCACTGTACACCAGTGTCTCTCACCAGTCCACTATATCACTGGTTCCCAGTAATGTGGCAGCATTGATAACTGGATTCCTGGCTGCACATGCCCTGTAGAAGTTTGGATACTGACTGAGCAGGTGACAAGACAGGAAACCACCGTGAGATCCGCCAATTACAGCGACGCGTTCGGGATCAAGGGTGTTGGCGCCCTGCAGCGCAGTGAGCACAGCCCTCTGTGTAAAGAAGGTGAGGTTGTTTTCTTACATTTACACAGTGACGTTAAGATGCTGAAGGACCTGCATTCACTTTGTAAAACATTAGAACCACTAATTATCCATTTGGTGAGCTGCTAATAAATACCATATACATCACCATTATTTAGTCAGAAATAAAAAGTCCATACCTGGACATCTTTTACATCTTGACTCCCGATATGACCAATCAGTGACAAAATGCTGTCCTGGCCAAACCCAGTGGATCCCCGATAGTTCACTGGATGCAAACAAAAAAATAAGTAGAGAAAGTGAACGTGCAAGGCCCAGGATAATGAACGGTGATGCAATATGATATACTCCAAGAAAGACCTGGCTCCTTTTGAGGTAATCAAAATGCAATGATACTAATTTTCAACTAATTATAGACTAACAAAGAAACCCAAAATATTTTATTGCATTTTATCCAATATACATAATAGTAAACGTTCCACTCTGACTAAATAAATCCCTCTGCATGTGCTCCAGAAGATGATTGACATGTTTCTATGAAACTATTCAAGAGTCTCCAATGATAAGATGTTAGAAACTTCAAAAACCATGTCAAATGATCTAAGGCTATAAACGTCTGGGTGACAACAACCAAGAGATGAATAATGCCTCACCCATCAGTACAGCGAAGCCCAGTTTAACCAATCCGGCTGTGGTGCAGTTCCACTCTGCAGGAAACTGGGAATGAGGGCCGCCTGAGGGAGCCAAACAGTTTACAATGTATTCAATGTGCTGCAATACTAAATATATATATAAACCTTTTTATCCAAAACTAAAGTGAGCACCAACCATGGATGAAGACAACCAGAGGTGTCCTGGTTTCATGAAGGAGAGGACAAGGTTTAACCAGGACAGCGCCGAAGTCTAAACCAGCTTGATGAGAAGAAAAAAATGGAGAACAATGACTTTAAAGCAAAATTATTTCACGCTTTAAAATAAATAAATAAAAAATCACTTTTAAAAAAACTTAAAAGTGATCACAAACATCTTTGCCTCTGAAATAAACACAAACACAATGTTTTTACTTTGGATTGGAAATGACTGACTTTGCCTTCAAGTGTATAAATATATTTAAAAAAAATTAAACTATTATTATATCTTAAGAACCTGTATCAGTGCAGGTTTAAAAGATCAAAGCACGGGTATGTTAAATCAAGTCATAATCTCAGTATAAATCTTCTAATGAACCAGAAAATGAAAGCTCACAGTACTGAGTGTTGTCCTCCTCTGGTGGAGGCGTCACGTCCAGAGATGTCCACTGGAAGTCAAAGCTCACAACAGGCTGCTGTAGAGTTCGCCAGCTAACAGCTTCGCCCTCTGATGGGAGGAATCCTACCCTCTGCACCCCAGACACACAAACCCACAAACATGTGACTCATACAGGAAAACAAGATTTGCACAATTTGTTTACAAATGCATCAAGCTGCAAAGTAACGTGGTGAAGCACATGCTCCGTCTGACCAGGGTGGGGGGGGTGTTGGGGCTGGAGCAACAGACGACCATCAGATCTCTCTGGACGGTCACCAGCTTCCAGCTGCCGTACACTTTAGAAGAATCAGAGGAATCTGCAGCAAAGAGACGGTGAGATGGAGGAGGAGTAAAAACAGAACAAATACATAAAATAGATTTTGAAAAGGGGAAATGGGGCTTGATTGAACGTTGACCTGAATAAATGTCTATATCATATTAAGACGTGGTCAGACAAAAAATTATGTTTTCATTTTTTTACTTCTCATTCAAAACTCTGACTTGAGTTGGATTTTCAATTTTTCTAAAATGAATGTCACTGATTTGTAATCTGTTGGTCTTGTCATACCTTGCCCCTCTCTCTGGTGCTCCTGATGAAGATGAGATGATGGAGGAGGAAGAGGAGGAGGAGGAGGAGGAGGATGTGTAATGTAAGACTCAGCAGAAATGGGAGGGGCAGAGTTTGGGAGAAAAGGGAACGGAGGAAGTGGAAAAATAGAGGACAGAGGAGTAGATGGAGGAGGAGAATAGGAAGACCAGTAAGGGGAAGGAGGAGGAGGAAGCAGAGGAGAGAGGGGAGAGGATGGAGGAGGAGGGAAATGAAAAGAAGGAGATGAGGACAGAAGCGAGAGGGGAAGAGGAGAGGATGGACTCTTACTATCAGACAGGAAGGTGACTTTTTTTGATCTTCTGTCAACCATAAAAAGATCCTGAGACAGAAAACATACAAAACGGAGTGTTGGTGGATATGACGGCACAAACTAAACAAATCTTATTTGATTTCTATGAATTTGCAGCAGAAAATCCAGTTTGTTGGGTTTAATTTGAGCACTACCTTCCAGTTTCTGCAGGAGCTGCTGAATACAATCCTCTGAGCATCTGCAGACCAGCAGTGGGACGGCAGAGCTTCATAAACACCTGCAAAATCACCTGAAACAGACAGAACAACTTCATATTTCTTTTTATTAAGACATCATAAATAAAACATTATTGTTTTTGTCAGCGGGTGATAACAGAGCATCTGTTAATGGTTTAAAAATAAAATGTATGTGTTTAAAATGTTTAAAGTTCTGAACAAAGTGAAATGTACCAGTCTGAGATCTGTTGACAACATCAACCAGCGTTGAGATGTTCCTGCTCTTAAGCTCCAGCTGTGGATGATTGACAGGCGACTGTTAACAGATGAATCACATATAAACATGAACAGAACCACCTGCAGACTGTACCTGCTGTACACAGAGGCACTGGTTGTGAGGACCAAACACTTTACCCTGCAGATAAATCAACACGGATCCGTCTGGACTCAGCCTGGGACAGGACACTGAAAGGTTGTCCCCCGACAGACACTCTGGGACAGGAGGGAGGAGTGTGTACAAGAGTGGGTCAAATGTGCAAAGTGTAGGGGAACACCACCTCAGAAAAGAACACCTCTTCTCAGCTTAAACAGAAAAAGAGTTCAGCTCATCTCAAACAAACATCATTCATGTGTTTTTGTGTTTGAAACTGTTAAAACAAGATGCATCTATTCCCTTGGGAACAAACAGACTTTGTTTTACAGGTGTTCAACTCAGCTCACTAACTTCTTAGTTGACACTAATGTAAATGTAATTTTAAAAAACTGTCACTGTGTTAACTTCACTGCCAATATGAACTCATTTCACATGAAACGGACAGATCGTTTTAATGAGAGCTTTTGGTTCAACTGACCTCGAAGCTTAGGAACATCTGAACTTGCTAATTTGATATCTTCCTTTATCGAAAAGGAGTATTACTCCCAGGATGGTTCCCATGAAGAGAACACCATGAGAACCCCTTTGTTTAATGACATTTTCTTTTCAGGAGATGAACAGCGACACCTTTTGATGAACATTGATTCTGTCTTATTTCATACCTGAATGTTTATCCATGAAAATGTGTGTTTTAAGTAATCTCTCTTTAAGAATATATTTGGTCTTATTGTCTCTTTTGAAAGAGTAACTTTTAAAGGCAGACAGAGAAAATGGGACTTTAGATTTTATAAAACATGACAAAGAGTTAGGACCATCCCTCTTCCGAGAGGTGGACCAAAGTCAATCTGTAACACACAGACAGTTAAGTTTCACTTCATCTTCACTTCTTCTTTCACTACTTCTTTGCAAGCACATCTACTTCTCAACGACTCAACACACTTCAACTGGACTTAGAGCAAACTTCAGAGAAAGATGCATCCTCCTAGAGAGACATCCTAGGAAGAGAATTAAGAAGATAAGCATACTTTCTGCAGACGTCTCAGGACGAGAGAACCTGACCGAACCAGAACCATCACACCGCAGAGTGGTAAATCCCAGCTGACTTCAGAGCCAGTGGCCGGACCTTCGTCCCTCCAACCGATGATAGGTGAACTTTGAGGAGACAATCTCAGGCCTTGCTGGTATCATTTTAAGCAGCTGTGGAACATTCTGACATCTCGTTCTGGTGAGAGACTCTTCAATGCACTTCTGGTGAACCTATCACAACTGCAAACCTAACTCACTTTAGACACAAATTTTAACTACTTCACAAACAGAACTAGTCCAAAATCTGCCTTTTTAAGTTTCACTGATTTGAATAATCAATTAGACATTTGATGCAAAGCTATTTTGTTATTCAGTTAACTTTTGTCATGCATAATCTTCATCAGCTATATCACAGATTATTATTTTTGTAATAAAATACATAAAATCAACTAAATTTGTGATTATTTTTGGCATATCTGTGTGTATTAACTGACTTGATGCCCTTTAAACACAAGAAAGAACTCACGTTTCAGTTTACATTAAGTTGGGGTTAAAAGAGACTGATTTTTCCTCTAAAAGAGGTGGTGCCCACACAACGAGGTTATTTAAATAATAAATGCATATCTTAACTCATAACTGATAATTTACAATATATATCCAGCCCCATATCCCTCTACAAAAGTTTAATACTTTAACAGAAAGATAAAAGTACTGCTCTCACCACAGCGCCCATTCAGGCCGAGTTCGAACAAAGCAGACCTGAAACAGAGGCAAAAATAAAATATATATTAAAAGGGAAGCCAACAAGTATCACTTATCTCTCTATTTGTTTAGATTAAAATACCTGTACAGTACAAAGCAAATAGTCCAGTTTGAGTTGAACAACTTTTAATCAATCAGTGTGGGGAAACAACTTACATTTTTGTCAAAAAATACACAATAACTCATGATTTGGTGCAACTTTACTTCAAGAAAAAAAAGGTCTATGTGGAATGAAATATGTAGAGTACCGTATTCTAATGTGTGAATAATAAACAAAATAATCCGTAATAAGCCGCTACTTTTTCTCATGCTTTGGACTGTGTGGCTTATACATAGGACATAGGAGTGGCTAATTTGTGCACTTTTATTATAATTTTAATATTTTATTTTGACAGGCTTACTGCCACTGAATAACATTATTCTTTAGCCCAACTATGTGCTTATATAGGTGCCAGAGAGGGGTTTTAGACAGAGTGTACTGTACTGTATGTCTGAAACCTGCGATTGGAGCAGAACTTCAGTCCAAGTCTAAAAGGTTCGTGGTACCAACCAACAAAATATACCGACCGACTGCCGGGAGCCCACAATGCCTGGAGGAAAGAAAAACAAAACAAAAAGAATCAATGTTGATTACAAATGGATTTTAAAAAAAGGGTCTGAGTTTCTGTCAACATTCAAAGAACAAACAATAAAACATTTTAAATGTTTGTTCATGCTATAAATCAGTAGTGTCAGATGTTGTAGGTGTAAGGTTCACTGGCCTCACCTGTCCAGGTGAGACATCAGCTGGGATGCCCTGTAACACTCTGACGGTGCCACTCTGTAAATCCACCACACAAACCACCGGGACACTCTTACTGGTCAGTGCCTCACCCCAGTCCTCACAGTACACACTCCGGTCCTGGTCAAACACAAGTACTTGATTTGTCAATCAACATAAATGAGTTTCTGTACAAGTTTGTATTTGATACCTTAATGCAGGCAGGTTCTCCAGTATCTCTTCCTCCTGCTGAGTTCTTAATCTTCTCTGCGACGTACAGAAGTTTCTTTTCACACTCGGACCACGACAGACAACCAAAATGAGCTAAAAGCACAAAAGAGAACAAAATTGTAAGTGAGTTATACATGCATCATATTTATGTAACAAAATCTCTGATGGCTCCTTTTCTTACCGTCGTCGTACACTTTGCCATGTATGTTGAGGGCTGACAGGTTGAGGCATTTTCTGAGGCCATGGCAGTCCCATATCTGCACAACAACAACCATAAACCATGATCTTGAAGCCAGTATCTTACTCGGATGTCACTGTTGGAGATTAGGTGGCAATTGTGAGAAATAGGTGGAACTTTAGTTGTAATCCCACTGAGACACGTGCATCTTGCACAAGAAGATTTAGAACACCCAAGAACCTTTCAGACACTTTGGAAACTCCCTGTTCTGCATTTGGTATAGCACAGTGAGATGCTGGCATGAGGGCTTGAATCTTTATCTTACTGAGAGTGATATGGTCAATCTTTACCTCCAGGAGTTGGTGGCTGCCAACTTCTCTGACAACAGCCCTCAGGCCCTGAACGGGTGACGGTTCACTCAATAACCTGAAGAGCAGAAAGAAAGATTTGTACAGGGAAGATTACGTGACTGCACGACAACACGCACCCTTTGTTTTCTACATGATCACTTGCTTCTTCACAAATCTAAGTGAAAGTCCTGCGTGGTAGCAATAATTTTGCATAAATTTACAAGTCCTGTGACTTATACAGCTAAGTGAACCCCCCCCCCCACACACACACACACACACACACACACACACATTTATAACCCAATTTTTTGGCTGAGATCTGACTATTTCATTCATTTTGACATGGAAAATATTGAACACTACCATTTTCAGCCACTAGAGGGCCCTCGACCAATATGGCAAGCCAATAAGTGTCTCATTAAAAGGTAAAAGTGGCTATTAATGAGACACTTGGCTTACCATAAAAAAAAAACCCCACCTTCAACTCGCTCCAAAACTCCTGGCGCAAACGTCAAATCAGCTGCATTTCGCCACGCCGCCCAGGAGAAATGCAGCTGACTGTTGAAGTGCATTTATTAAGGAAAAGTTCAACTGAGACACACCTTTGCTATAATGTCAAGCAAACAAATAATTGTTTTAAGCGTTAATCTTGTTAAATTCTTGTTAAAGTCCTTCCGTGCACGCTCCCGCGGCTACCATTTGGCAGCCAATCGATTTTTGGCACAACACCGGCCCAGGTTTCCGGGTGGTCAGCGGTGACTCATAATAGATGCAACTTATACGGCGAAGCGACTTATTTATGTTTTTTCCACTTTATTAGACACATTTCGCCTGATGCAACTTATACGGCGGTGCAACGTGTACGGCGGCAAGTACGGTATATTTCATACTTTACTTTATTATATTTCTAGTGCTTGTAGCCCTAAACAAATAATTGCATTTTTCTCTGATTGTAATTTTTATTTTTTTTTTAATGGAATAACTCACTCTCCAGACACAGGAGCACATGGTCCTGATGGAAGGACGGTCCTGATGCTCTTGTGATTGCTGCTGTCAGTGATCAGAGTCCACTGCTGTGAGTACCTAAGTCTGTAACCTCGAACCAGGTCACTCTGACTCCACTCTAGACATAGAAACAGATAAAACATTTTCACGTTAGATAAAAAAAAAAAAAAAAACTCAATTACTCATGTTTAATTACAAACACAACTCAAATCAAATTCTCCACTATGCGGTATGAAAAATAAATTGTTCAAACAATGAAAAATCGTGTTTTTACTGCTGATTTTGTTCAAACCAAACACAAAAAATACTATTAATGTATGGTGTTTGTAAAATCTGATGAAATATAGCATCAATACAGCCTCAACACTTCAGTCACTGGTGACGAGTGGTGAGGACACGAGGATCTCTTCCTGAACTCACAATCTAGTTTAAATGATCCAATGACACTCATGTTGGGCAGTCTACTTCTTGAGAAACAAATGGGTTTATCCTTAAACCTTTCTAAACCCTTGACCTGAGATTACTAGAGTCAGCTGCAGAGGAAGGACAGATAATTAGATTTACATGTCTATCTATGGGAACGTGCACGTCTCCTCTCTTGCAATCATTACACCAGAATCCCTGCGTTGCTCTGCAGTCAGCACTGAATCTGGTTTTAATGATCTAATAGTGGCCTATTTTATAACACAGACCCGACTTTGAATGTCAATCCAGTTTTCATGTCAGTCAGGTTGCCAGATAAGAAATTATGAACTATAGTACTGTCGCTTTAAAATTATACTGTAGTATTTTTATCTTGGAGCTGCGGTGATGAAGTGTATATTGTATGTGTATAACGTGTCATTAAATTGTCTTGAGCAGAACATAAGTTCTGGCAGGACGAGAAAATTTACAGACAGACAGAGATTTTGTGGGATTAAATGTAAGTAATTAGGTAAAAAAAATCAAAGGTGGACTTCTCACAAATAACTTTGGAATAATTTTTTTTTTTTTTTTGGTAAAATGATGATCTGATGATGATCTGTCAGGTCTGGTGTTTGTGCATCTTATTTCTTCTCATGGTAGCTGTGCTCAGGTTAAATATAAGATGCTTGTAAAAAGATGAAGGTCAGAACACAACTAGCATCGATAACTGGCTGGTTACCATGGTTACGGGTTACACTAAGATGCAACTATAATTTTAAAAATATAAACGACTGGAAAACAAAAGTAAACAACTGTGAAACAAACACACATTCACTGAGCGATCGAAGAGAAAACCCAGTTTCGTTCTTGTTGGTGAAAACCAGGTCATGAATACAAATTCAAAAAAGAAGACGTGTACAGAAGAAGACCCGGTAAATAAAAACAATAATTTGATTTTATACACTTGGGCAGGAATTGTGTGAACGCTGAGTCAGCATTTAAAATGTTTCTAAAAAAGTTAAGTCAGATCCTCTGGACGGATCCTGAAGATAACTGTATTTGTTAATTTGTTATTTTAGCCAATCGCACATTAAAAAAATTCAGCTTATTTAGGAGATGAGTGCTTTGATGTTTGGTTGTTGCAACTTCTATAATCTTCAGCTTGTTTACAGATATTTTCCTCCAAGATACTGAAATATTTCGATTCTTTCAAATGCTTTCTGTTTGAAATCTGATTCAGAAAACGTTCTGTTGTCTTTTCATGCTACTGCTAAATTTTAGCTGTGGTATTTCTGCAATAAACTTTTAGCTATCATTTTGTTATTTTAGCTACAAACTTCAGCTGACATTCAGCTCTCAGCGTTCACTCTGCAGTTTGACAGGAAATGTCTTTGTTTTGTTTTTTAGCTCCAGTCTGTGAAAGTTTGCAGAGACACAGAAAAAAAAAAAAAAAACTAAACCATCTCCAATAACTTTAGATTATATTTTAATCTGGCAACAAAGAATATCCTTTATTCAACTGAGATATTTTGTAGATCATTACACTGAAACTGTTTTTTAAACAACCTGACACATTATCTGAACTTAAGCTCGTTTTAATTTAATTGTTATCTCAGTCCAATCAGATACATGAAACTCTTAATGGTTTTAATCCATACTGAAACGGAGTAGTTAGAATATATTTTATTGTTTAAACAATTGATACGTTTTTAACGTGTATTTTAGTTTTGGTTTGATGTGTTGGTGTTCTACTGAACTTCATTTTATTATTATTGGCAGCACGACTGTTGCCTCACAGCAAGAAGGTCCTGGGTTCAATCCCTGGTTGGACCTGGGGTCTTTCTGTGTGGAGTTTGCATGTTCTCTCCGTGCATGCGTGGGTTTTCTCCAGGTACTCCAGTTTCCTCCCACAGACCAAAAACATGCATGTTAGGCTGCCTTCAGGTCCAGGCCTCCCTTGCAAGAGATATATGATCTCATTGGGATTTGCCTGGTTAAATAAATGTTAAATAAATGTTAATAAATAAAAGTATTGCTCTTAGAGCACTTGTGTCAGCTCTGGTCAATTTGAATTTGCTAAAGAAATCAACTCTTCTTGTTTTGGGTCATTGAAAGGCTCACGAAGAGGCTCGGACTGACCGGATCCACAGGATCTGTGCTGCAGCAGAAGCTCGCACCAGTGCACTTCTGGAGAGACTGGGTGTCTGCAGACCCAACCCCTCCAGGTCTCCGGAGCCTCCAGCCAGATGCAGGTCTCTAGCTCCACTCAGATATTGGAGGATCGCTCCTCTGTTCGTGGACCCTCCTACAGATACAGGCGCTCTAAAGGCGAGGACCCCCAGGAGTCCAGAAACGGTGTTCGAGTTCTTTCAGGACCTCCTCAAACATTCGGTCTCCACCTCAGACAGCTTCAGCTCAGTGGACACTCAGACTCCCCGGGAGCTGAGAGACATCCCCCTCATCACAACTCCAGACGAGGCGGCCCCACCTCAGACAGCCTTCATCCCAACCCCACCTCCTCGCCCCATCGCTCCACAGCCCAGGAGGAGGAAGTCCTTCATCCCTGTGTTGATCCAGAGGCTCCTTAAAAAACCAGGTCAGTTATTTTACAGTTGATCTCATTGAAACATCTCCTCCATTTAAAACATTTTAAACCCTGCAGTGAAATTAACGAGACTTTATGAAGAAGAACAATCCTCCAACATTTAGCTTCAAACTTCTGATGAGAACTTGTTTTTCTCAGAAGTTTGACCGTGCAAAAGGTTAGTTACAGCTTGATACATGCCTCAGTCCTGAGATGTGAAAATATTTGATGTTTTTGTTTGTTCTTGTCTTTAGTTTGTAATTTTGTCAGTTACACAAAACAACATTATTATTAATACTAATATCAGCTGTATTGTCAGTGAAATTCCTGTCATTAATGAATATTTTAAATCTTGATGCAAACAGAAAAAGAAGCAGCGAGTCTTCAGAGAGCTGAACTTCAGGGGGAACCTTTGAAAAAACCAAAACTTTTCAGAAGGAACTCTGTAGCTCCTCTGCCTCGACCCGCCGCTGCTCCTCAAAAGACTCTTCTTGTTCGACCTCCACAGCCTGACCCCCCCAAAACTAAAAGATCTGGTGTAAGAGCAGATGTGGGCTCCACAAAGACCCCAAATCTGAAGAAATCAGGTCCTCAGACTGTAAGACCACAGCCTAAAGAGGACCTGAAGCCACTTCCAAACCCTGTCCAGAGTCTGTCCCTGGTCTTCCAGCATCTCAGCCAAGACGACTGGTAAAACTCTGACCCACAGCAGGTTCTGACCTTTCCTGCAGTGCAGAGATGTATGTTTTCATGAATCTCACACTAAATTTTAAAACAGAACTAAACTAACAGAACTAGGCCTGTCACAATAAACAATAAATGTATTCATCGCATGATAAATGAAAATTATTGACCTCGTTTTCATTTATCGGCTTTATCGTTTCTTCTCGTCTCTCTTTTTCTACTGAATTCAAAAAACGTCGGATACAAAAACAACTGGACTTTATTTGTAACAGAAGACGTTTCGCTCCTCATCCGAGGAGCTTTCTCAATTCAAAGAGCAGAGAGTGAGAGATACAGGTTATAAGGCCGAGATAAGATACACATACACATGTAGATTGACAATTCACACCTCACACCTTAACAGTAGTGGTTTCTTAAGGTCTTTGTTCCTCTAATTCACAGACGAGGCCCCTCTGTTCCCATCAGGTGTGAAAACTGGCTGGGAATCAGTCTTAAAGTTGCTTTATATGTTTTTGAAAGTGGAAATCTGAGGCCTCCTCCTCTGTTAAGAGACGGCTTTTCTCTTTTTACATAATTGCTTCCTTCACCCCCCTCTCAAACAAGGGACACTCTTTTGAGGACCAGAATGTGCACATTTTGGTCCTTAAAAGAGTGTCCCTTGTCTGTGAGATGGAGGTGAACAGCTGAATCTTGTCCAGAGGAGGTGGCTCTCCTGTGTTGAGCCATGCGTCTGTGAAGAGGCTGTTTAGTTTCTCCAATGTAGAGGTCTGGACAGACCTCGCTGCACTGGACCACATACACTACACCACTCTGTTTGTGTTTGGGTGTTTTGTCCTTAGGATGGACCAGCCTCTGTCTGAGAGTCCTGCTGGGTTTGAAATATACTGGGATGTTGTGGTTGTTGAAAATCCTTCTGAATTTCTCTGATACTCCAGCAACATAAGAGATGACAATGTGTTTTCGTCTTTTGTTGTCCTTTTTCTGTTTAGTACTGTGTTTTGTAGATTTCCTCGCTGACTTGACAAAAGCCCAGTTAGGATATCCACATGTTTGAAGAGCTTCTTGAATGTGTTTCTGTTTCTTTTCCTTCCCTTCTGTCTTCAGTAGATGCGTTCGGCCGACGCGTCTACTGAAGACACTGGATGACAAACGGCTCAACTCCGGTGCTCTTCACTGACCCCTCCCTTTCGTTTGAAAATCTGTTGTGACCGCCCAAAATCGTGTTATTGGATCGTTAAAAGCAGCTAAGCTGAGAAGCTAAACTACGAGCTAAGCTAACAGGCCGACCTCGGGGAAAAAAACATCTGTCTTGTCGAACTCCAAAATTCACGGTTGAAATCTGTGCCTTCATGTAAAAAGTTGCTTTTCTCTGCAAAAAGAAGCTTGTTTATTGTTTTTTATTAAACGCTTTGTGTGACAAATGCTATGCTTAAGATCCTGATGCATACTCATTGCTATGCTATGGCTAGCTATACTAGCTATGCTAAAGAACTCAAACCACACTGAGCGTCTGCCATTTTGAGAACAGAAAAACAGGAAGAGACAGTCCACGTCCACGTCAAGGGGCCTCCCTCCCATTTTTCTTAAGGACACGCTACTCGCTCCCTCACTATCCATCCTTTGGTTCAAACCATTTTATACTGCCATCCAGTGGTCAAAAAAGGTACTACACACAAGAATTAACCAACATTTCTTCTTAAATTTGACAATTACCAATTACTGTCAAATTTCAAACAATATTATTGTTTATCACATTAATTTCTGAGACAATTAATCGCCCAGCAAAATTTGTTATTGTGACAGGCCTAAACAGAACAACACTGCCTGCAGGATCTAGGTCATAGAGAATCCTCGGAGCAGAGAGCAGCAGATTAATTTCTCCTCTTTTCACAGGGAGAAGAAAGTGGAGGTTCTGGGACTGGTCCGAGCTCTGGCACAGCACCACCCAGACACACTGATGGTCAAACTGCATGAAGTGTGTCTGGCTGTTATAGATGAGGTGAGAAGACATGTCCCTTCCTGTCTCCATGTTTACTCTGAACTCTTCTGTAGTAGAAGCCGGGCTCCTCACTGTTCATGCTCATTCTGTCCCCTCAGATAAAGAACCTGCGTTCCTCCGTGGCCTGTGCAGCCATAGACACCCTGGGCTCTCTCTACACCCACCTGCAGAAGGACATGGATGTAGAGGTGGAGAGATCTGGTCGTGTTCTGCTGCTGAGGATCGCTCAGGCCTCTGCCAGCAGGTTTGTTCAGCAGCAGGTTAACCTGGCCCTGGAGGCCATGGTGAAGAACTGTAGCCCCGGCCGCGTGCTGACGGCTCTGCTCAACACCGGGCTGAGGTAAGGTCAACATGCAGAATGAAGTTCTATGAAGTCGTGCAGATGCTGCAGAAATCAACAGGAATGTGTTTGTGTGTCCCTCCTCAGCCACCTCAGTGCAGCAGTGAGGACCAGCACTGCTCAGCAGCTGCACCTCCTGGTTGAGGAGATGGGAGCAGATGCAGTCCTGACAGCAGGAGTCAGGTTCACCTCACGCTTCCTTCTGGCTCTCAGCAAGATGTGTCTGGATGCTGCAGCTACAGTCAGGTCAGTTATCACCGTCTTCAGGTCACAATGAAACTCACTAAGTTCAGTTCATTGTTCCTACATTAAAACTTGTGTGTCCATCTCTACAGGCCCCATGGGCATGTTGTCCTCCAACAACTGAGCCTTCATAAAGACTTTAAGAAGCTGTGGGAGAAAACCGTGGAAGAAAGCGAGCGTCTTGCAGTGCAGAAAGTCCTGCAGAAGGGAAAAAGGATGAGCTGAGAGACATGAGAACACTGATGGAGGACAGAATATATTTTTATTTTCATCAAAAACCTTTGCGGTTCGACCAAAACCAGAGCTGGACCAATAATGCTAAGACATCACATCTGTCCAGCTGTGGACTTTGATAAAAGCCTTGTGTCAATCACCAAAGTTGAGTCAATCCTTTAAATCCTAAAAAATGTAATGAAAAAATAAAATAAATACCGTAAATAAAATATACACTGTAAAAAAAACGACTAAAAAATCCTGTAAATAAAATGTAAAAAAAAAAAAACTGTAAAAAAACAATAAAATATCTAAGTAAATAACAGGTTTTTATCACTAATAAACTTTTTTTTAATTAAAAATAAAACTAAGAAAAAACTAAAAATAAACAACAACAACAACAACAACAACAACAACAACAACAACAACAACAACAACAAAATTATTTAAAAAAATAACATTAAAAAAAGAGAAAAAATAACTAAAAAAAATAACTAAACAAACAGAGTGGATAAAGTGTAAAAAAAAAACAAAAAAAAAAAAACAAC